AAGTTGCTGGAGCGTGTCGCCTATGAGGTTCGTCATGGTGGAGAGTCGCTGTACTGTGCCATGTCAATGATAGCTGGCCAGGTACTTATAGTCTGCATTTGATTCAGAAGCCTAGTCTGTCGCGGTTTCCCACCTACTATGCAGAGACCCGGTCTGAAATGAATACGAGTGGGTTGGAATGGAATGGAAAGATTCACCTGATCGCATTCGACTGTAGTAGTCTATAAACAGTACCTCCCGGCTCTCTAGCGTACAACCGAACGCAGTTGAGATCTTCTCGACGATTCAACATCTCAGTCTGCACACGGAAAGGTTACAGTGTCCCTGCGAATAAAAAAGAAGTAGCTTTGCCGGATCTCCGTGACCTGGTGACTTGATACCTCGAGCTCGCAAACCATTGGCGCACCGTGACAAAGATTGTCAACGATTGGCTCGGGAGTTGATACCTCCGAGAGAAATGAAGCGCTCAATTCTCGGCCACCCGGAAGCCTGACATTGCCAACAGCGAGCAGCATGCATACACTGCGAGGCCCGGTCCCCTTTGTACCCCGAATTTTCGCCCTATCGAGACGAAGGGTTTCCAAAGCAAACGTGATTAGTGACCTGTTTCGTACTTGTTAGTGAGCCTCAGGCGAATGGATGATGAGGGTTAAAATTAAAGCGTGGCAGCCTTGTGTGGCTGTGCAGATTCGTTCTTGACTCGCAACGTGGTCGGGTTTATCTTGCGAAAATGTATCTTAAAATGTTCAAGCAATGTAACGTAAAACTATACAGGAATGGATAAGAGGATGATTTTATTCAAGCACCTACCTACTGCCAACAACGCCGAGTCTCCGATTTCAGTCTTGAACCGTAGTCCAGTTGGACCAAAATGTTATAGGATAATCATAGTATATATTTTTGTTTCAATTCTCATATTTTACTTGGGCCTCATCGTCGCCCCAAAACGACGCCGCGAACGAATTTCCTCGATCGCCGAGCTGGCCGAACGTCCCGGCAACTGCCGGATAACGATCGATCAGCTCAGATCGTATCTCCTTGGCTCTGACCACCACAGCACGACCTCACTGTCGTGCTCGTCGGCCCCAGAAAAATTTCTGGGGCTTCTCTGACTTATTATTCATGTTCTCCTTCGCTCTCCTGGGGCGGTTTGGCTTTGCGCCGACCGCTGCGCCCTCGGATACGTTCCGGGGCGCATTCTGGTGTTCGTCTTCGCGACGACACCAAATTAAATAGGACGCGCAGCGCGTAAGCCCTCACAAGCGAGGCAGCATTAACACTGGACTATTTTTTGTGCTTGGACCGTTGGCTGGGCTTCGTGCCGGCCCCCTCTGCACTTATGCGTTCTGGGGTTTATGCACTCGTCTTTGCGACGGTGCTATTCTCGCGAGGCTGCGACCGTAGCGCGCGGGCGCTTAGCCGTCGGATTCAACCCCGCCTTGCCGGATGTGTGCCCTCGGATACGTTCCGGGGCACATCTGGTGCTCGTATTCTTGCGCTTGGACAATGCGCCTGCCTTCACGCCGCCCGCTGTACCCATGGATTTGTCCCCAGGATTTTTCGATGGGCCATATCTTGGTGTCATCTTTATGATGCACCAATTCGATTAGGATGTGATGGGCGTGGAGTCGTCGAGGACGCATGCAGTCCAATAGGTGCGTCGTCTTCGCTTTTCTTTTTCGTATCTAATATATACTGATTCAACGTTGCAAATTGTCCCAGCTTCCACCACGATTCTCTTGGATTCACTATACACCCTCTCCCCATCTGCTGCACCTATATCGTGTCCCTTCCCTGCTGTTACACAACAGGGTGAGCTTGACTAGGTACATCGTGCGCGTCGATGGCCCCCCTGCCATTGCCGGGGGGTCGTCGGCGTGCACGAACACTGCAAGCACTGTAACCCGACATCATTTCGGCGGGTAACCCGCACCCGCATCGCGGGATAGGGTAAGTCGAGGGTACGGGTAGGGGTCCGATTCAAAATACCTGAGGGATACCCGCGCTACTCACTACATATTCTAGATGGCACAGACCATGAACGACTTCGAGAAACTTAAGACTTCCTAGGAACACATCAAATGCTGTTTTATCATTCTACCTGCTCAGTCACGATAGCCTGCAATGGTCTGGTCGTCCACACTGGCACTATGTGGTCGCGAAATACCATATCCTCCAGACTATCGAAAGACATCAGTCCTTTGCACATCACAAACGCGGGAGAACGACCGACCTTGTCTCAAACAGCTGCATATCAAACTTGCGCATCAAGTGCGCAAAAGTCAGATAGAGCTCGCACCACGCCAGACTACAGTCAGACTATTGAGCGTGTACTCTCGAAGAACGAACAAAGGTGTACGCACGTCACACCAAGACAGCTTCGCGGTCCTTTGGAGAACACAATGAGATACTTGTCCAGCTTCTGCGCGTCGGTACCGATCCACCGCTCCGGTCTGAACACTAGTGGGTCGGGGAAAACCTCGGGGTGCTTCAAGACGAACGGCTGGGCTACGACGCTCTGTAGACCCGTTAATCAGATGACTCGGACGAGCAGAAGCACACATACACCAGCAGGAACCGCATGTCCGTCAATGATGGTCGCGGCCTCGACGATGCGGGGAAGGGACACGGGTATGCCAGTGCTGAAACGCAGCGCTTCTTTGATGACGCCGGTCTATGTACGACGTAGTCAGTGATTGAGTATGAAAGGTAGTAACATTGACTTACAAGGTAAGGCAATTTCTCCGCCATCTCATACGAAAACGGTGTATCCTTCTCCGGCCACGCCTCACGCAGTTCTGCCTGCAGTGTCTTCTTAACACCCTCATTAGCCAGTAAATGGAAGAACCCAATCGTCATCGCATTGCTCGACGTATCCGTGCCCGCAATAAGCAGGGCCATGGCCTAAACTCGTGAGTCCCAAACCAGCTTACCAAAAGAAACGTAGAAAGCCCACCTCATCAATCAACGCCTTCTTCGACGGCACCTCCCCCTTCTTCACCAGCTCGAGCGTAATCAAATGATGATAAATCGTCTCGTGCTCCACGCCCTGCAAACTCTCCGGGTCCCTTAAAATCGTATCGACCTGCGCCCCCAGAAACGCTCGCAATTGCGCGACGCCGCCCATCTCCGGGTTCAATGCGACCCCGAGCCAGTCCGGGAGATGGTGCAGCGCGTGCAGAAAAGGGAAGAACTTGGTCGCGGTCATGAGCGGGAGCGCGCCCTGGACGGCGCGCAGGATCGGGTGGTCGAACCCGGGCGTGGTGAGTCCCCCGAAGGAGTGCGCGTAGCTGTACGCGGTCACGACGTCCATGGCGAGCGCGCGGAAGCCGCGGAAGAGGTTGACGGGCGCGGTTTGGTATTTCTGGATTTGCTCGGCAAAGAGGTCGACCTGCAGACATAGTTAGATGTGTGGTTGCAAGTTGAAACTCAAGAAGAGCGCCTTTTCCTGAACAAAGCTCTCCAGCTTCAAAATCGCCCGGCGCGAAAAGAGAGGATTGAGAATCTCCCGCCGTATCTTGTGGTCCTGGACATTCCTCATCCCAAAAGTGGACTCGTCCAATCCAAAACACGTATAAAAGTCCGGGTCCTTGGTGAATCCAGTGTAGGATGGGTAGATCGCGAAGAATGCTTCGGCCGTATTGAAGTGAAGCTACAGCGTGGTTAGCCTCGGATGCGGGAACTTGGAGAACATACTTCGTTCGGTCGTATTCTGACCACCGGACCTCAAGCAAATGTCAGTACTACATAACTCGGAGTACATATTGGAGGGATGGGTACCATAGATTTCATGCAACTTCTCGAGGTGTTGGACGAACATGCCATTCTTCCATACCTCGAAGTAGCCTTGGTAGTACTCTGTGACGGCCGCGAGACGAGGGCCTGGGAATGCCTTGAGCGGATGCAGATACAGTCGATAGACGAGGAGATAGAGGAAGCGAGCGACGACGAGCAGGAAGAAGAGCTGGAGGTAGGAAAGTTGCTGGAGCGTGTCGCCTATGAGGGTCATGGTGGAGAGTCGCCGTACTGTGCCATGTCAATGATAGCTGGTCAGGTACTTATAGCGTGCATTTGATGCAGAAGCTGAGTCTGTCGCGGTTTCCCACCTACTACGCAGAGACCCTGTCTGAAATGAATACCAGTGGGTTGGAATGGAAAGACTCACCTGATAGCGCATTCCACTTTGTACATAGTCTATAAACAGTACGTCCCGGCTCTCTAGCGTACAACCAAACACAGGCGAGATCTTCTCGACGATTCAACATCTCAGTCTGCACACGGGAAGGTGTCCCTGCGAATAAAGAAGAAGTAGCTTTGCCGGATCTCCACCTGGTGACTTGATACCTCTGCTCGCAAACCATTGGCGCACCGGGACAAAGATTGTCAACGGTTGGCTCGGGAGTTGATACCTCCGAGGGAAATAAAGGGCTCAATTCTCGGCCGCCCGGAAGCCTGACATCGACAGCAGAGCAGCATGCATCTACATACACTGCGAGGCCCTCCCCTTTGTACCCCGAGTTTGTGCCCTATCGACACGAAGGGCTTCAAGGCGAACGTGCTTAGTGACCTGTTTCGTACTTATTAGTGGGCCTGCACATGGATGATGCATCGATGAGGCCTTGAGGGTTAAAATTAAAGCGTGGCAGCCTTGTGTGGCTGTGCAGATTCGTTCTTGAAAAGGTTGACTTTTGGTTGACTTGCTCCGGTTTATCTAGCGAGAACAGTGTATGTTAAAAGCTTCAGGCAATGTAACGTAAAGCTATACAGGTATGGTATTAAGAGGATTATTTCATTCAAGCACCTACCTACTGCCAACAACGCCGAGTCTCCGATTCCAGTCTTGAACTCTAAATTGACTTGGATCCAGTGTAGTACAACTTGTATAGTGGTAGGCGTAAACTTGCCCGTTGTTTGTCACTGGACAGTGTAACGGTGAATCCGGTACTTATGGATGAACAAAAAGAATGGCAGAGATTTCTGTACTCGGGGTATCACCAGATACTCCGATGCTGAAGCGGTTATCATGCTTGCCTTCCGTGTGTATAAGCAAGCGTCAGGGGTTCGACTCCCCTTCGGTGTAGTCTTCCTCGATGGCGCTGATTTTTTTCTGTCTGTAGTTCAAGAATCAAAATTGAGTCACCAGTGTTCAATGTTCATGAAGTCTGAATCCAGAAATTTAAAGGATCATTTCCTCTTACTTGCGGTGAAAGTTACAGTTTAATGTAGCAGGAAAAGCTGTGCACTAGGGTTAGGGAACGCTCAGCCCTAGTACTACGGATGACGGAAACCCTAGTTCATATCCCGAGAAGAAGAGCGGACTTCTATGACTGGCGGATTGGCATAAAACTCCTTCGCCGCCTCTTCGATCGTATATACCGGAGCGTCCGGGTACAGCTCCCGAGCGACCAAAGCACCATCAGCAACAGCATGAGCAAGCGTGTTGTCTCCACGCAGAAAGAGGCTGTTCGCATACTGCGAAATGACTTGTGTGAGGAGGTCACTGCTCTTCGTTCTGGCCAATATGTCTTCGTCTGGAACCTAAAGGAACGTCTGGAACCGGCGAGGGTAAAAAATGCACAACCGTACCCTGGTGTAATCAGAGAAATCCTCTCCAGAAATCTTTTCAGCTATAGCCCAAGCCTCGTCGACATTGGTTTCGCCATCACAAGCAATAACCGTCTGGTTAATTGTGCGCAGATCGTCGATAATACGCACAACAAGCGATGCCAGTGACTTGACCGTTGAATACGCCAGCTTCTTCCGACGGTCGCCAATGTAGTTCTTGGGCGTGAGCATGCTCATGCTCGCTGGCGTAGCATGCGGGTACGGGAACAAGAGCTGGAGCCACCACCCCACTTCGATGAACGTGTATGGTACGCCGAGTTCTTTGATGTACTCCCGGATGTCAAGTTTCTATACTCATATCAGTATGGAAATGATGTCAATTAGATTTCGGAGAACCAACTATGTCGTGCATGGCCATAACTCCCCGAGGCGCGTGAGGACCAAAGTCAGAAGGAACGACACGTCCGACGCCGGCTTTCTTGAGCAGGGGTTTTTGGTCGGTCATCGAGACGAGGACGAGAGAGATCAAGATATCGACGCCTTGGAGGACAGCTTCGAGCGTCTCCGGAGACTCGGTGATGTCGCCAATACGAATCTGGGCACCTGCATTTTTGAGCTCGGAGACGACAGGCTTCTCGACAGATTCAGAGCGGACAAGTAACAGGACTTGCTGGAACTTTATAGTTAGAGTTGCTTATTGACTGAAGAGCACTGTGATAATCGACGTACAAATTTGTTCGTCTCTAGCAAGGCTCTTGCCAATCCTTGCCCAGTTCGACCTGTACCGCCGACAAGAAGTACTGATAATTTAGGCATGAAGACGAATTACTGCAATCTGTCTCGTTTGGGATCTTGAGAACTGGGTTGGATAAGCACTTGATAGAGATTTATACATGGAAGACTCACGCCCAAAACAGACGGGTGCCACGCCGGTCTTAGTCATTTCAGCTTGGTACTCCGTCTGGAATCGCATAGACGGTTGATAGGCCAATTATAATTGAAACAGTTCCTTGAACTCGAGGTCGTAGTTTGAGGGAGATGGCGCACGGAGGAAGCCATTCGACGAATCGTTTTGCGTCATACGGGTTGCGTGAACAGGGAGTCCAGTACTAGGCTAGTCAGCGGCTGAGTAATTCAGTCAGTTGAAAGATGCGTCATAACATGCTGACAAGACGGCACATCACATTGTCTCTTGTGAAGGGCCGCAGAGGCCTTGCTTCTCTCCGAACCGGTATCGTTATGATCTCGGAAAGCATTGTCCTCAGTATGTTTGAACATTGCATGTCAGATTCTTCGTTGGACAAAACGCGACGGGGAACTTGACTTATACAAATGCATATCAGATTTCAGCACCAGGCGGACGAACGTCAGGTAGAGCTCGCACCGCACTAGACTGCAACGGTTTCAGTGATCAAATCATCAAATGTGAAAGGAACAGGAACACATCTCGTTCCTAAACAGCTTCCAAGGGGACGGGGAAGGTGCTCTGAGTACGAATTCGGGGAGACACCGTCTACAATATCTCAATCAATCTAAAATGAGTACTTCTGTCAATCATCTCCACGCACAGCAGCAGGACATCCTCCGTAACCCTTGCTCCAGTCGAAAACATGAAGCAATGTTTGTTGGGATCATGGTAAGCCAATAGCCTCCCTTACCCTCTTCATCGTCTCACCTGACCGTTCCGCCGCCCTCCGAGCACCGTCCTTAGCCACACTCTCCAAATAAGCTTTATCCACTCTGATCCTCTCGAACTCCTCTCGTGCTGGACGTAGTTTCTCCGCGACTGCTTCTACAACGTCCTTCTTTAAATGCCCATGATGCTTGTTTGCGTACCGCAATGCAACGTCTTCAGGCCTCTCCTCTGTACATGCGGCAAGGATAGTCAGGAGGTTCGCTGTACCAGAGCGCGCGACGGGGTCGTATGTGATACCAGAGATCGAGTCGGTAACTGCGACGCGGATTTTGGCAGCGATGGTATCGGGTGAGTCGGTGAGAAGGACACGGGAAGAAGCGTCGGGAGCGGATTTGGACATTTTAGAGGTGGGATCGCGGAGGGAGAGGACACGTTTGGAAGGTGCTAGGTGTTTTGGATCAGTACGCGTAAGAGGGTTGTAAAGGAGACTTACTTTTGATTATACCAGGCATTGTGAATACAGGTGAATATGTGGTATTGAACCGCTCGACGAGATCACGCGCTAGTTCGAGATGTTGTGTTTGATCGTCTCCCACCGGTACGTGGGTGGCGCTGGGGCGATGTTAAGAAGAGACGGTCCACGAGATGAGAGCCCTACTTGTACGCAAGAATATCTGCGGCCATTAGCACGGGATATGTGAACAATCCCGCGTTCAAGGCGCCCTCGTCAACTTGTGCATTATCTGAGAGGTTTTTCGATGCTGCGGCGCGAGACTACGCGCATTATGAGGTGGTGACATTCATGGCGACTCGCGCTGAACGTACCTTCCAAGTCGTCATGCGACGGAGCATTCCCATTGAAGTCATGCAGTTGAATATCCAGGCTAGTTCTGCGTGATCTCGATTCTGAACAAGGGTCAGTGTACCTTCAGCGTATAGAGGTGACGACGCGTACATTGTCTTGGTGAAACATAATGGACCTCTTTGGGTCAAGACCGATCGCAAGAAGAACCGCGAGCATGTCGCTCCTCGAGGCAGCCAGTTCGGCAGGAACTTGCGGGAGTGTCAACGCATGCCACCCCACAACCATGTACAGCAGTACATCGTCTAGGTCCGCATTGTTCTGCAGGTTAACCCAGTTGGCGAGGGCGCCAAAGTAATTTCCAAGCTGAAAGACGCGTCAATTTGAGTTGCTGATCACGTAGACCTGGAAGGTACATGAGGTATCCCGGTGGGCTGTATTCCAGACACAACGACGCGACTATTTCGCCTGGTGGAAGTAGAAAAGCATCGCTTGGGCAGAGCTCTTGGTAGTCGCCGGAAAAGAGACATGAGGTGCACAGCCACAAATATTTATTTTTCCATCAACTTCAAGTACTTAGTACAATCTTCTTCTGCCGCTTCTCACTACCGCACGTACGTGTAACTGTTACTATATTTTCATTCAGAGACGCAATCTACAATCGTACACCCTGATCTGGCACCGGAGGGGAAAGCCCAGACCCCATCATGACCTGAACTCCCTCACTTGTAACATCATCCACAGTCACAAAGATAAAAGCTGAACCAAGCATGAGCTTAATTATAATCAGGATGAATGCAAAAGAAAGTACCAGGTCCAGGTGGGTAAACCCTGTTGTTCGGCGGACTGAGAACAGAGAGCTCCGTCTTATCCTCGGAGAGCGATGCAGTCATGAAAACGAGACGAGAGCTCGAGTGGAAAGCGTGCGAAGAAAAGCCCAAGTCCATGAGCGAGACTTCTGGTCCGTTAGCATGGGCTCTGTGGGGTGAACGCGAAGTGAACCTAACCTTGTATAGTCGACGCCTCCAAATTATCTGGTATTTCAATGCCGATGGTGAAGTTCTCGTGGAATCCTATTTGTGAGGGCACGTCGTGCAAGACCGGCCTTTCAACAGTCATGTAAGGCGGATTCAGATATTCAACACGGAATTCGCTGACAATTCGTTCTGGATCAGCGTGTAAGAACAAGAAATGCGATCACGCACGAAGGGAACTTGACACCCTCATTTACGATAAGAGTATTAGGGTTAGACCCAGCAATGAAGACATTACTACAAAGTGGAGTGAGCATCTACGTTGAGGGAATGCGACACGCGATGAAAACACTTACCCCATAGGTGTGAGCGACACACTGGAATGATATAACCTTGGTATATCAGTCGTGGGCAAACCCTGATTACTGATACGCTGTCCGACCGGCTGCGATGGTGTATACAGTGACGGCGTAAACCTGCAGTTACATTTCAGCGTTATAGACCCAAAGAACTAAAATATAGATACACAGGATTATCAGCATCCGACTCGTTTATCGCATCGCCAACGCTATCCAGCGCAGCAAACCCAGTTGCCGCCCCGTTCGTTATGAGGACCTGCCCATTCGGGAGCAGAATCATCTCAGGCATCATCCGCGGCTCCAGCATATGCTCGACCTCCCAGCCTCGCGCAATACCCTTCAGGCGACAACTCCATCCGACTGCACTGGTCCGATGCCGGAGTTTGTGAAGAGAGGTTCAGGGCGGGAATACTGTCATCTGTGGCGGATCCGCCGCACACGACTACCTCTGCGATGTAATCCGGGGCGATAGCGCCAGGAGCGTCGCCGATCCGTCCATAGGATTGGTGATCCTCACACCGTTGGGAATGTCGGGCAGAGGGGTCTCTGTGTCGGTTTCGATATCGTATATCGCGGTTCGGTTGTTGGCGACGAGGAGAACCTTGCCGTCTGGGAGTGCGAAAACACTTGAAAAGGCATTGAGTGTCTAGTGCTCAACGAGACTAAGAATGCTCACCGAGGGAACAAGTTGGTGTGACCTGATCGTTCAAGGAAGGCCGACGGGCGGGGAACGCCACCATCCTT